ACATTTTTGATATATTTGCATCCCCCCCATTTCATAATCTGCTCTACCCCACCCTCATTCCAAACATATTTTTCTGATTTCTTTCTTGCAGTTTGTCACCTCTTTTAAAAAGAAGAAAGGAAAGCAACTTTATCTGTCTATATCTCTGAGATGAGGTATTATGATTACTTGCATTATTCAAACTATTACCCTCATCTCCATTGCCATATTCACATTTCGGCTGTTGTACACTCTGGCCTTCTTCAGGTGATTGGAATTTCAAAACAAACTCTTTATTTCATCCACCAGGGTAGATTGTTCTAGTTCCACGTGCCATGCCTCTTCCCGCTGTCTCAGTTATTTCCCGTTAACTCAACTCGCCAAGTTTTGGTTCACCACTGCAGGGGCCTGGTATTGAACTCACAACTCTTTGGGTCTAGTCTAGTCACTGGATCTAACCAACGTCTTTATCCACTTGCCCATGTGTCCTTGAGGACACAACTTTATCATGGCATCAAAAAAAAAAAAAATTGACTCCTTTTTATGAAAATAAGGAATTGAAACCTCCATAAATTTATTTAATGATAAATCTCCATTATGACAACCAGGTTTAAGTAAAGGCTTGAGTTATTTTATACACATCTTTTAACAATTATGGTAATGGAGCAAAGCACAGGGAGAAGTGAATTCATGCCTTTTTCAAGTACATTATTATGTAATAAACATGGCTGCAGCCAGAATTAAAATGTTCTATCCCGCTAACTTCTCCACAATTTTACACCAATCTAAACATATTTAGCATAGGTAGTGATTCTCACTCTGTTTTTTTTTCTGATACATTGCGATGAAATAAAAATTAATTTTATTTACCCTGCACTTCCCCAAAATATAACTTTTTTTTATGTTTTGCTTTGTTGACCAAATTACATTGTGAAATATCATTAACAGATTGTGTAGGTTTTCTGGATTATATTCTCTTACTTGCCTACCATGAGTTTTGCTTTCTCATAACTCTTTGAATTTTTTGAATTTTCAAATTTTCTGCTGGAACCTTTTGTCTATTATAACAACTTAGTCCAAAAAGCAAGGTAGAGATCTCCCTTTTCCTTTCATATATGATCTGCTATGACTGATTTAGTGGTGTATGTTTCCGATACACCTAACATTATATCATGAATAGATGCTTCATTTCCATTCTGTTTCAGCCAGTACAGGATGTTGTATATGCAGTTCTTGATACTTTTCATTTTCTATAGGTCCATTCAAATTTGGTTATATACAACTCTATTATGTGTGTGGGTTTGTATATAGGAGGGGAGTATCAAATCTTTGCTTTTTTTTAAAATTAGACTAACAACAAAAATTACTGTACATTACTTGCATTTTAATTGTCATTTACCTTTACCTAACTGCACAACAAGCACTTGCTGATTAGAACTGATACCTAATAACATCAAGTTTTATGGGTTTACCAGGCACTTCATTACCCATGTTAGAAAACAAGGTCAAAATTTATAAATGTACAAAAAATGTATTGAATCCATGGAAAATGGACTATAACATCGGTAAATATTACAGACTAATAGTTTGATTTTATTAATAAAAAATTTATTCATATTTTAACAAGATGGTATACGAATCAAGTCATTTTTTTTCTTATTCTTCCTGAAAGGAGTTGTTTTCTAGTTATGAAATTGAAAAAATAAGTACATTTTAAATACGCAGTATTAAAACTTGACTTACAAAAAAATATTAACTCATGAAAAGATAAATAACGTCAGAAAACAAACCACAGTCGTACTGTGTGGCTTTGTATCCTCTGATTAAATTATATGAAAACTGATTAAGTAAGTGAATTTTATGAGAGCTTTATTCAAAATTGAATAAAAGGAAAATGATAAATAAAATAAAAATTATGATAAATGGTTACTTTCTTTACTCCGACAAGCCATGGCTAGCAAGTGAATTTCTTTGTGTACAGCAGTAGTGAGCACCTCAGTGACAAATAAAACTTTTTGATGTTTTAAAGATAAACAAGTATTCCCAGATGGAGACTGGTATAAAAAGTCGTCTTTCTCAATTTTTAACGAGCCCTCATTCAAGACAGTGGTAACCCCTCCCAAAATTGTAAGATTGGTGCAGTACAATCATTCTATCCTTATTTGGTCTTGTGGCATAATAAACTTAAAGCTCTTAAGCATCTACACTGCCATTCAGATAAGTTGAGGTTAGAAAGAAAAAATTTATTTTGCCATCTTGGAGCATTTCAGTCTAAAGCAAAGTTGAGAAAAATACAAAGTATTAATTTTGATAATCCTAAAAGTAATCTGTTAATACTTTTGGTAATGATTGATACAAAAGCAACCCTCTTTTTATTTTAATTTTTTTTTTTTTTTTTTTTTTTTACCAATAACTTTAAAATAGAAATCTTTACTAAACTAGCTACCTTCACTTGGTCACTGAAAAAACAGCATAGCATGATAGAAAAAAAAGGCCCCAAACTGAATAAAAAAGTTTTAATCAAGATATTTATTAAATGGGAAGACCAAAGTATTTTTTTTTTTTTTTAACTGTTTTAAATTTTTTAATCCTTTCTAGCACGTTGGAAATTTCTGTTAAAAAATGTTTTTTTTTCGTCAACGGTCAACATGATTTTTTATGATTAGTGTTTTTGCGTTTTTTTTTTCCCCTGGTGAAAAACAGTGAATCTGAAATTCTTTGAAAATAAAGTCATTGTCAGATTTTGAAACTCCCAGGATTTATTCACAAAAGAATGAAATTATTTTTGAAAATTATTTTTTTTTAACATATTAAACAACTTACTTAATTTCATGAAATTTTGAGAAATAAAATTCTCAAATTTTTTTCTTTTATTACTTAAAAGCAGGACTCGTCGGAGAATGTCAAATCACAAATTTTCTTTTTTAACAGTAATGCTCATTTCCCAAAAATCTGCTCTGAATTGTAAAATAAATGCAATCAAGCTTTGGCATTCTTTAATTGGAAAAAGGCTTTTAATTGCTTTTATAAATAAGGTTTATTAAGGACACTATTGTCTTAAGAGAAAACTATTTACTAATCAAAAATTGAAAAGCTTACTACAAAGTATTATGCCCTGAAATTTTAAAAATATTTTTTATGTACATAAAATATTACATAACTTGCCCATACATGACATTATCAGAAAATAAGTGATGTCTATAGTAAATTTAGTCAACATTTCTTAAATTAGATTACAGGGAATATTTTCCAACATTTTTAAGATTGTATAATAATTATATAAAAAAGCATTCATCCATCATTTTCTTAAATTGTTTTAGCAGATGATGTCTCCATAGAACAACAAATAAATGTCAACACCTTCCAGCATTTGTGAAGTGATTGACAAGTGATGACAAGCATGGAAATCACTTTTGAAAACCCATTTCTCTGTTATTTCCAACAGAAAGTAAATAATATTTGTTAAAAATCAGATTAACTACACTTACAAGTATTTTATTTTTGGAAAATTTTTTTTTTAAACCAAGAATTAACTTGTTTATAAAAGTGTCAAGAAACAGCCAATTTTATGAAAGCATTGAAAAAGTTGAGATACCAATCAATATAATTTCTATTTGAAATACACCAAAGTATTTTGCTTACTGGAAATAGTAAATTTAATCATTTAGCTTTCAATGAAAGCAAAAAAAAAAAAATTTCATTTTTAAAAATTCATTTGAAATGTTAGGTATCGGAAATTTAGTGGAGGTGCCTATAGTAAACCAATAATTCCCTTGTGCAAATTGAAACAATTTGTTTGTCTATTTTTTCCAATGAAACATGACCCAGTGCACATCTTAGTGAAATGGACATACGAAGTACTAAGTTGTTCCTTGCAGATTGACCACAGATTCTCGATTGGATTTAAATCAGGAGAGTTTCCGGGCCAGTCTATAGTACTTTGATTTGATCACTGGTAAGTTCTTACCAGTGTATTCATGCAGCGTTACAATTTTCGTAAACTTAGCAGACAATGGTTGTAGGACAACTAATCAACTGTCAGGACAGTAGTGTCTGGGCATGATAAAAATCTCATGCAGTCACAGATGACGCAATATTTTTCAAGGCCAAATTTCCTCATACACCCTGAAAATAAATTCATACTGCAAATGACCTAAATCTGAGGAAAAAATAGAAAAATCAATTACAGTCACTCTAGTGGGTCTAAAACTGACCATAAGTTGAAAGAAAGGAAATTAAATGGTTGTTTTAATTAATTTGCACAAGAGTGTACTTACATACAATAAAGCTCAGTGGTTCTATTGTGATAATTTAACAGTTTAAGATTTAGACAAATTAGAACTGCATTGGTTATTAAATGTTAACTTTATAGTAGACAATTTCTTTTAAGAGTTGATTTATAGCTTCAACAAGTTTTATCACTGAATGGAAATGTATGAGAAAATGCAACATTTCTCATGGATGGAAGCCATTGATTTAAATGGACAAGGTGGGCATGCTGGGGGTTGAACAGATGTTAAAAAAGAAATTTCCTTTGTTGAGACATTTTTGTTGAAGGACTCCTCAAGCTTCACTGGACTAGACAGGAACTTAAATCTCGTGTCGCTTTGAGAGACATGAGATTTGTTTGATTTTCTCCTAGTTTGTCATTTTGAATTCATATGACTTCATTATGAACTAATTTGATTTCTTACCTCCCATCCATTGTGTTGTATTAGGGGGAGATGGAATTAGCATTTAATATTCACGAAAAGGTGAAAGTTCCAAAACAAAAAAAAAAAAAAAAAAAAAAAAAAAAAAAAAAAAACAAAAACAAAATTAGGGTTTTCAACTTTTTATTTTCATCTTTGTTTGGTAGAAGCATTTAGCAGAATCTAAAGCCATATGTGGGAAAGTTAAGATTTCTATAAGAAAGGTGAACTTTGAAATTTTACAGTTTTTTTTTTTTTTTTTTTTTTTGGTTTATCCCAGATGTTTTGCTGTTAAGTGTTTCCTCCTCCTAAGTTGAGTGAATATGGGCTTTAGGCAGACTTCTCCAAACGGATGATCTCGTTGACACCCCTCATCATCTCTGTAACAGCTTCAAACTCTGTAAGACCCATTCTGCGTTTGTTGGAGATATCATAGACACCACCAACACTTTCTGTATGCTCACCGTGGATACCTGCAGACAGGGGAAGAAAGAAAAAAAAAAAAAAAAAATAAAATCAGATGTTGAAGATTTGCTGTTAGACTTTGCAACCTTTTATAACAGAATTTATTTACTGACAGACACAGAGAGAGAGAGAGACACAGAATCCCTACTCCACTTACCTCTGGCTTGCAGATTGTATCTGTCACAGACATCCTTAAAGTCAGGCATCTGTGAGACCTTGGGGATCTTGATGTGCACACTAGCTCTCATGGTGGTACCCAAGTTGCTGGGGCAGAAAGTAAGATAACCCATGTTTTCCTTCTTGGCAAAGGTCAATTTCTTCTCCATTTGTTCAATAGCCTAAAGAATGAAGAGTAGAAAAAAGGTAAAAATTAAAACCAATAACATGAGGATCATTATATATATATATATATATATATATATATATATATATATATATATATATATAATATATATGTGTGTGTGGCAAATCTCCAATTATGATACTTTGAAAGAATTTCACTCACCTTGACCAACCTCCTGTAGACTTCAGCCAAGTTGCCTCCTTTTTGCATAGAGATCAATCTCAAATGATCTTCCTCATTGACCCAGCACAAGAAAGTCTTGTCCTGGTTGAAGTAAATTCCTCTGCCAGTGGGCCAATCATCATAGCCACTAGCAGCCTTCAAAAACCTGAGAGAAAAAAAAGTTTAAATTATATCAAATGATAATTTCTCGTGAAAGAAGAGGCGTGTGGTTAAGTTTGTCTTCCGAGGCAAAGTAGCTGAAATGTAGGTTTGCCATGGTCGTATCTGGAAATCTACCAGTTTCCAAACAAAATATTTTAGCAAGGAGAACAAATGTTCTAGTAGTTACCCACCCCCACACACAAGAAAAAAAGGGGGGGCGGTCTGGCATCACATTATATAAAGTTATAAAATTCAGCAAGCTAGCTTTCATATTTTCATTTCAAATATCCCCCCCAAATAAGGCAATAAAGCCACCAAGATGTGGCAGTTACTGTATATGAAAGTATGAAAGAATTAGAAAAAGAAAACACATTATGAAGAAGAGAAGAGAACAGGAATTAAGACAGAAGACAATGACTAGTATTATATTTAAATTTTTGAAGATCAAATTTGACTGGAAAGCAAGAAGCTTGAGAAGTTCAAGTGGAGAAATTATAAGCCTAAGTCAAGAAGTAGATATCTTTCATATTATACCCAATTTCCTCTCAAAAATCAAGTTACTTTTTAAAAGCAAAAGTCCTCAATGCACATACATTTTAAACAGTTTAAGCTCTTTTATTATTAAAAATAAATAAAGAAAGCAAGCAAAAGCTGCTTCTGAAAGAAGAGAATATGGTAATTACTTGATTTTATTGTTTTCTGATTGTCATCAACATACCTGTCAGAGTCATTGAAGAGGAAATGATCAGCAGTCAGCTTCTGTTGAGTCTCTGGGGTCATTCCATCAAGAGGAAAGTACTGTCCATGCAGTTCACCCTCCAAAGACTGCAGAGCTTCAACTGAGGCCTTCTCCATATTGACACGATCCTAGAAAAGAAAAATAAAAAATTCACATCATTTTATAGACTAAAATCAGAGTACTTGTAATGATAGATCATCATAGCTCAGCTTTGCAAAACAAAGATCAATGTTGCTTACACGGGATGTGCATACAATCACAGCAGTTGCAGCTAAAAGTCTGGTCTTCATGGCATTGCAGCACTTCCTCCTCTGCCTCTTGGCCCTGAGAGCAGCCCTGCAGATATTTTCAAAAAGGAGGCAGCATAGTTGGTGATGAGATGCCAGACATGGTTTTCAGCTAGGCTTGACCATTGGCAATGGTTGATGTGACAGGCAACAAAAGATTCTTTCAGGCAATCTTTGAATCGCTTCTTTGGCGCCCCTCTGCCACAAGAGCCAGTGGAGAGCTTGATACCAATTTTTATAGGATCATTAAGGACCATTTATTTTCAAAAACAAAATGGTTTTGTTTTTTTAGTTAAGAGTGCTGCTAATGTCAAATGGCTTATCTCTTTGCAAAAGTTTCATTTTAATTAGATTTTTGCTTCAAATGTTATATTTAAATTCACAACGGATTTAAGATTGAGGTTAAAAAGAGATCAAAGATTTTGGAAACAAAGTATAGCCAGTCTTTAAAGGCACACACAAAAAAAACAAAAAAAAAAAACAATTTGAATGATCTTTCTATCCAAGTTATCAAGATATTTAACTTTTGAAGAGCCACATGTTTGCCAGCGAGATCAGAGTTTTCTCTTCTAGTTATTGAGTAATCGTAATCTTAGAAAAAAATTACTAGCTGAATTCAATATCTGATAGTCAATGATTAGGTGGTTAAAGAGTTCAACTGTCATCTCTTAAAAAAGATGATCAAGTATACAGAAATTGCTAAGCATTTAGGAGATATTTTAAGCTTTTATTTCTTCTTGCCACTCTGCACGATCAAATTGAATAGCAACTGGAAAAAAAAAAAAAACGACATTGAAAAGTAATAACGTTTAAAATATGCTGAAAGTTGTAAACATGTAGCAGCATTCGTTTTATTCAGGGCCAAATGATAAAAACTGTCCCTTGTCCAAAAACTAATAGATCCGAGAATAACAAGTGATATCCAGGATGTATGCTATCCTTCATTGTTTTCTGATCTGCTGCAACAGTCAGAAGTAGAACAGTCTTCCAGGCTGTAAGCTACCAATTATTTTCTGGGCAACATCCTATAACCCTCTTGAGGGCCCTCCTGTCGAGCAGCTGGCATACCAAACAATGATGCTCCACTTAGACCCAAGCAAACGTTGCAGGTTTAAATCCTTCAGTCATTTTTGTAAGTTTATGCATTTTAATGGATTTCTTTCAGGAAATCAAGCCTTTAGAGGTTGGGGATGGGGATTTTCAATAAGTATAATGCTAAACTGAGCCCTTTATGTTCCTTTCCAGTCAAGCTGAACTCTTTTTCTTTTTTATTAGTATACAGAGCGTTCCAAAGTTGCAGTTACAATTGATAACACTGTAAATTTTATATCTATTTACCAAATGGAATCAGGTTTCTGTATGTAACTATTATTTTAGAAATTTTCTTAGTCAAATTATGGAAGATGTCATGCAAATTTTCACTGGTTGCTATTTCACAAGTATGTTTTCTGCCAATTATCGCGTGTTTTTGGCACACCCTATACAATATTAAAGTACAAATCCTTAAGAGATAATATTGCATTTTTTTTCTCCAACTATAAAGTCAAAAATGTGAAATTTAAGTTTTAGAATATGCTAAATTTACTGTTAAACTGGACCCTGACTTTGTGGTCGGCATCGACATAAAATATTAAATTTTCAAAGTAAGGATCCAGTCTTACATTGTAAACTAAAGTGAAACTCCATATGAGAATAAGTTTTCCTAAAAATTATACACTTTAGTTCAAAGTGGACATCTTGCTGCAGTTTTAACACTAACAATTAAACTACAAGTGAAGAAAAAGAGGCGTAGTTGAGATGAAAGGTACTTGCCTCTTTAGTAAGGACTGGAGGGAAGCCATAACTAGCATGGCTCCTGCCAACACGCACACGAGTGGAGACAATCAGCTCACCACTAGGATCAAGGTCACCAAAACCCAAGTTATTAACATCACCAAAGCTGGGTTGGGGATGTGCAACTTTCTCAATCTTGTGGTAGTCCATGATGACAGCATCAAGGACTTCAGCAAATGTGGTGTATGCATCAGGGTCACAAGCATAGATACCAACACCGCTGTCTGGATTCTTACAGCCTGAAAAGAGACAAAAAGAATACGTAAGTGTTACGTATATCATTCATTAAAAAAGAAAAAGAAAAAAGAAATTGTTTGGCCACGTCCAAAATGGCAATCAAGTCTTCTGCAGTATTTTTTCTTAGTCTTGTTGTCCATTTCGAGTTTAAAACCTACATTAGGCTAATGAATGAGATTATTTTTTTAAAACAGAGTAAGGGAAAAAATCTATTTAACCAAATTATCAATTATTTTGCAGCGAAAAATTTAAGATCCTTATTCAAGCAAGTTTATTATTAAACAATGAATAAAAAATGTATAGACAAAAATTACGGACTTAGAGCGAGTCAATCTTTTCACTCGACGTCATCCAGTTGTTGAGAAATATTTTAAAAATTATAAACTAAAAAGTTATCGGAAGGTAAAAGCCAAAGGCCCCCACAAAACAGCAACAATGGTGTTTTTTTATTACTGTAGTCAATAATAGTGTTGTAAGCAATTATAAACGCAAAGAAATTGAGAAATACATAAAAAATTAAAAATCTTTTAAAAAAAAAAAAAAAAAAAAGCAGCTATTTATAAGTGATCTATTTTACGTACAGAAATAGTTTTTAAAATTTAGGAATAAAAAAAATAAAAAATAAAATTCTAAGTTAAAATGCTGTAGCTTACAATGTGTTTCATTTTTTGTTACAATGTCACTTCTAAAATCTAAGGAAGAATGAATGAAATGAAGATGGTGCTTTTTTCTTTTTTTAGCCCGAGGAAAAGCCGAGCTGATTTTAAAGTAAAACACGTAACGAAGAAATGGGACAATGGGTTCATCATGTCACGAGGAAAATTAAACAATGACAAAGGATTAAGAAAGAGACGACGACCCGGCAGTGAGTGGAAAGGAAAGGAAGGGCTGAATAAAAATCTTAAGCAGACAAAGATTTATATTCTGAGAACATAAACTGTCATTGTTTTCTGTGTTTTTTTTTCCTTTAACTGATCACCAATGGAACATGATTGCATTTCACCCACTTGCTTATCTTTCGTTTACAACTTTACACTGGCTAAAACTACTAAAGAACCCAGACAACACAGGGTTTATGGCAGGGACCCTGACGCATAATTACCATCATTAGTTGAGGTCCTTAATCATCATCGACTAAATACAAACAAAAATCGAGACTACCCATGAAAACGTGGAGATCTGCTAGATTATATTACAACGAAAGACAAGTGCAGTCGAACAGGACCTAAAATGGTGAAAAGGACAAAGACTTTAAGGGTTGGTCACTTACACACGGACAGGAAAATTGAAATGTCCGCTTTTAAACCAGTTCAGTTTGCAAAAGCAAAGAAATACAGTAAAATAAGACATGTCCGACCCTAAGAGAATGTTAAGATTAGACAAGTTAGAGGAAGTCTTAAAAAAAAAAAAAAAAAAAAAAAAAAAAATATATTGCTCGACGACTCTTTGAAAAAAGAGAAAATAAGTAAAATTTAGTTTCAGTAATTTTGGTAATTCATTTCGAAGTTAATGAATTATTTTTTTAAAATGGATTAAAAAATAAAAATCTATATTTTGGAAATCAAAACAGTAAGTACCAAAGATGTAGATTGTAAGAATAGCAAGCGATTCTACATTAAAATAAAATTGTAGAATCTACAATTATTTTTATTTTAAAAAAGACTTACGGAATTAAAAATTCTCTAAGTTTTAAAATAGAAATTTAAATGGCAAGGAAAAAAGTTAAATAATCGAATTTTCTATAAAAGAAAAAAATGCTGTAAAAATTGAAATATTTTAAAATTTAAATCCTGAATTCTATGATTCTTTTGGAAGTGACCTTGGAAGTTCTTCAGAAAATCTCCCACACATCTGACCTTCAAATTAAGAAGAAAAGAATTCAGTGAAGAAGAGATTCCAAGTGACAAATGATTAATTTATGTAAATTTGCTAAAATATTCAAAAGAAATTGGTTAGGAACATTCGAAATTTTAAATTCAGCAGAACCTATCTAAAAATCATGAACATAAAGGAAAAAAAAAAAAAAAAAAAAAAATTTACATAAAAATAAGTAAAATAGAGAAAAACTTTTTGAAATGAACAATTTATAAGCAATGATGAAGAAATTTGAAGTTTTGCAGGAAAAAAAAAAAAAAAAAAAAAAAAAATGCATTTTCAAAATTTCTTCAAAGAAGCGTTCTTAAAATTAAATTTCGTTTTTTTTTTTTTTTTTTACTTTAAAAATGCACCAATTCTAAAATTGAACAAATTTCTTTGTATCTCAACCCCCAGCATCCCTGGGTAAAGGATATTTTAGGGGTTTTTTTTTGGGGGGGCATTTTCAGAAATTACATTTTTTTTGCTCTGCCCACCCATGAAATTAATTTTTAAGAGTAATATACAAATTTAAAAAAAATAAAATTCCCCCCACTGATTTTGTTGTGCATTATTAAGCACTGAAGAGGGGGGGGAGAATTTTATTGAAGCCTTGAATGACTTATAATACGGTTATTTTTTTCTTTTTATAAAATTGTCTGATGTCTTCGTTCTAGAGAAAGGCTTGGTTAGATTGCAGCGAGAAAGAAATAAAAAGGAAAGGTTACGAGAAAATAAATCGTGGGAATAGTGAAGCAGAACGTACTTAGTAACCGAGCTAATTTGACTAGAAAAAAAAAAGATAAGTAGTTTAAAGGAATTTAGAGTTAATAAAGCGTTATTATAAAATAACTTATAGAAAAAAAAATGGTAAAGATGATAAAATATTTCAACATTTAAAAATGAAGAAAGCCAAGAAGATTGACTTCAACTGATGATAACCGTGAAAAGGCGATTATGACGTTGGTAGAGTCAGACATTCTTGCAAAAGAAAAAATACGTTTAAAAACAAACTCAAATTCATTCACTTCAGGTAGAAAAAACAAAAGCAAGGTTTAGGTAATTTAGTTAAGGAAAAAAGACCAAAAAACAAAACAGCTTGACAAAAACTCAGACAACCATTTTGTCATTCATTTAAATCAGGTGAGTTTTTTGAAAGAGGTTTTTATATTTTTTTTTTATTTAATTCGCCAGGTAAAAAGGACAAGCAAAATAAAAGATTTAATTGCTGTCAGTGTATAATTAAAAGTAAATTTATCATCGAATTTCTATTCTTTAACCAAAAAGAGAAACGGATAGAAAGACCTTTTCTCTTAAAAAAAAGAAAAAAATTTAAACTGCTCAACAAAAAATGAAATGAACATTTGAAAAATGACAATGACAAAAACGATTGGAATTATTAATTAGTGAAGTTTTCTTGGGGGTTGGGAGATATGAAGGGTCAAAGTTCGATTTTTTTTTCTTTCTTTAAGACTGTCTTTTAAGCTACGTAAATTCGGTACTGAAAGGTTTAAAAAAATGAATTTTTAAAAATGAAAAAAATAGCATTCTTGAAGATTTAAGTCTTAAATTGGAAGCATCTTATACAATCGAACCTCGAAGTTATTGTATTTAAAAAAAAATATAAACGGACTCAATAGTCATTTTAATTACCATTGTCAAAGCAAGGTTTTTTCCCCCTTTTTTATTTAAAATATATATTTTTTTTCTGTGGACATAAGTTTAGTGTGCCAATTACTGAGGAAAGCGGATGATGATACATAAAAATCATACAGAAAGAATTTGCGGAAAAATAGAAACAGTTATTGCGCTTTTAAAATGTCATCTTCGTAGAGAGATTTTATTTTCTTACCGGATCGGATGCAATCAGCCAGGGTGCCTCCAAATTTGGTCTTTTTATTCTTTAATCTCTCATACCTAGCGGGAGTCAAATGTTTTTTTAGCAGGGACTTGCTATTGACTGCTTCTTGTAAAGATTTCCAGAGTTCTTCCAAATCAGACATTTTGTCGATTTTCTTACAAGAATAAACTGAATAAGCTGTGCTGACTACTGTACAAGTCCTTTCCCTAAGTATGAAGAGAAGGCGTGAACTGATAGTCGTCCCTTGAATCCGACTACCGTTGGACAGCGTCTGGAGAAGGCTTTTAAGGAGAAACGTCATAACAAAATGTCACATTTGATTGGTTACTCGATTATTCGGACAATTTTCATTGGATGATTTGACCACAAACTCGAATTTGATTGGTCAAATTAACTTTTTTGTCGCCCCCCCCCTCCTTTCTTGGACGCAAACGCACACAAGTACGCATTGTGCGTTTAAGAAGAACTTCATTCATGCACATTTGATTTTTGATTAAGCAATCGATTAACCTGTGTTTTCCTACTTTTGCACCAACCACTGCATTTATTATGTCTTGCTTGAAGTCGTTCTCAAGGGCAGAGTCTCCTTTAACGCAACTTGTGGAAGGAAAAAAAAAAGACTCAAATCTCTTGTTAAAAACTAAGTAACTATAACAAGGATGATTACCCTAGAAACTAGAAAGGCAACTAATGATCTCATTCTCATTAGGACAAGAGTTTCTTTCGCATTAGCAATCGGGTCAACTTTATGCTTGTAATATGCGCCACTTTCATCGTGGATTATATATATATATATTATATCATATAGCAAAAAACACTGAGACAATAACAGGCATTGCCATCAAATTACTAATTTTACTATCATTTAATTTAATTGCAATGAAAGTTGTAGTAATCAGATTCTCTAATGATAAATTTTAAAATTAAAAAAATTATTTAGGACTTAAATTTATTTTTCATATTTGTCCACTAATTATTTAAAAGACCGAACGCGCCTTTAAAATAAAATTTAACGATCTGTATTTTGCCATTTTTATTTTAAAGTAACAAGAGAAAATTATTCAAACGGCGCCTGAACGGCTTTTTGTGTAAAAATAAACAATGACATCAGAACAGATCGAAGATTTAAAGTCTTTTTTAGTTTATTCTTTTAGTTTTATTATTAAACAGTTTTTGTAATAAAAGTAAAAGTTCATTACTTTATTTATTAATCTTGCAAAAAAAAAAAAAAAAAAAAAATTTTTTAACAATGTGTTTTCATTCAACCAAAAAACTTTATTTTATATTGCCTCAAATTATCTAAAAATAAAAAAGTAGAGGTCATATAATGATCATTAGAAAATAAAATGCGATTAAACAAACAAAAAAAAAACAACCAATTTGAATTAATGAATTGTCAAACAGCCGCGAAAGTTAAAAAAAATAAAATAAAAAGTAGTTCGTTGGTTTTGTATTCAATTTTAATATTTAATCAATTTTTACTCTTTTAAGAAATAAATGAGAGAAACCAAATAAGAGATTCGCTCTTCTGTAGTGTATTGTTTTACTTTTTTTAACTTTTGTTATAAAGGTCACAAAAACAAAACAAAAACAAAAAAAAACAATCGTTTGTTGAAGTGAAAACTTTGGTCAAGGAATCAATAAAATAAGCACAGTACTTACTAGCTAAATGAATTTATTATTTATATCAAAATAACTTATTTCTAAATTCATTTAAATTAATGCACGAATTTTTGCATCGTGTGTTATAATTTTATTTTTTTTGTTAGTGCGTGTGTGTAAAGTAAACCGGGAAGAATTTGATATGGGAATGAGTATATTGACTTTTTTGTCAATGCTCTTTTCTCTCTTTCCTTCTCCACCCCCCCCTCCCGCATCACTTTTCTATTTTTGTGTGTCTTGTCTGTATTTTTCAGTGTCCCTTTTTTGGTATTTGTCTTTTTTTAACTTCAGCAAGAATTCGTCTTAACACTTCTTTTCTCTCTCTCCCTCTCGACTGCTACCTTTGATAAGGGCGCTCTTCTTGATTTCTGGCAAGTCGACTCCTTCCTTCCTTCCCCTCTCCATTCAAATACACCCAGAAAAAAAAGAAATCCCCCATAAATAAATATTTAACACACGCACATTTTGTGACGTAAAGACCTGCACCCACACAGGTAAAAACAGAAACCTGCAGAAACACGCTGTTTTCTCCTTTAAATTGTAGCATTTGAATAACGAAATCACACACACACAAACACACAAAATGCCATTACGCATGGCACATGCCGCTCTACATGGTTAATAAAGTGTGACCTCTCTCAACAAAACTGACGTAGCGTAACGTTGTAAAATCTTACTTGGTGATTCCCGTACATACATAAAATAAATAAATAAATCTATTTCACTGTGATTCTATTCACAGTCAATTATATCAAATTACTTGACAACTGTATGCAAATTTAAGAGATTTATTCCCACTATGTTCCGTTTCAATTTGACAGGGAGAGATGTACTATTAAAAAAAAATAAAAACCATGATCACCAGCAACTAAGTAAGAATACATGGGGGAAAAAGCCCAAGGTCAGATTTGTAATATTTCGAACTAAGACTGAGTTATTCAGTCATCACGGATACTAAGTTGAACCATTCTGACGAAGAAATATCACAATTGAATAAAAACATACATCCAAGAGTTAGCATAGTTGTGTTTCTAAATTTTTTGAAGCATAACTAGTAATAATTATCGTAGATAATTATTAGACATTGACCAATGTATGTCTGTATTCATGGAACAAAGAGAGAGAGAGAGAGAGAGTCGATTATGTAAGAATAAAGAAGAGAGAAATTGGAGTAGAGATGAGAAAAGTAGAAGTTACAGATAAAAAGGCAGGTTAAAACTTTATTGAAGCTGGGAGATGGGTAAATACACACAGCAAGTACTTAAGAGGCTCATTAACAAGACATTTTAAATAAGCATAATTTGGCTGATCAATCTTTTTTTGTAAGCCTTTTCAGCAATATAGATTCACAAACGTGTGTGAATTGAAAGATCTTTCTCTATTATATAAAAGGCTCAAACACTAATATTCCATGTCATAATTTATTACATTGGAATTGTAATCACAATGCAATTCATCAGACTGAGAAATTAAAGAATCGACCACTAATATATATATATATATATATATATATATATATATATATGTGTGTGTGCTCACATATTTACAGGGTTATACATGTCTCGGGCATATACAGGGAATAAATTATTCAAGGTAGGCAGTTGTGTTATGTAATTTGTTCATAAAAGATCAACATGAGAACAATTTATTTAAAAAAAAAAAAAAAAAAAAAATTAAAAGTTAATATTTTAATAGGAGTAGAGATAGAAATATTTACAAAATGTTCAATTGATTTTTTCTTACATCAGATAAAAAAGATTTTCCTGTTGTGACCTGTATACCAGTGTCTACAGTAGATGGAATAGATATTACAATGTGTATTAATCTATTGAATTAAGCTTGTCTAAGATTAAATGAATCAAAATTTACTGATACTCTAAATTTAATGCATTAGGTTACAATGATGTAATGAAGTGGAAATATTTTTCTTCAATGTTTAAGAAATTTTTGTCAGCAAAGGTATTACCTGGCTCACCTACCAGACATCTGTGGACATTGAATATTGAGCTTAAGGCATCAACTAAACTTTCAAGAAGGATTTTGATGCTTTCTATGATGTGATACAACTTTATCAGAATCTGTATGCGTATATATATATATATATATATATATACATACACACACACGTTTCATTAAATAATATAGAAAAGTGTTGTCTATTTTATGTAAATTTTTTTCATAACGTAATAAAAAAAATTACATAAAATAAATAGACAACACTTGTCTATTATTTAATGAATAGTGTATGAATGAAAAGATGCTGCCTAAATATATATATATATATATATATATATATATATATATATATATATATATATATATATATATATATATATATATATATATATATATATATATATATATATATAAAGTGCATTTCAGAAGATTTGAAAATTTTTTTTTTTTTTATTATTCATTTCAAGTGAATAAAAAATACTAATTTCCTTCAATGCACTTGTAGTGCTCCAACCACTTCTTGAACGCTCCCAAGTAGCCCTCCACAGTGAAGGTATCCAGGAATCTAGTCACAGATTCTTACAACTCGGTTACCCTTCAAGCCCTGACCACCACCTTATTGAGGGTAGAGAAAAAATGACAATGCCCAGCCACCAGTTGAACAGCATGTAAACACTTGTAACTATTTTTATATCTACCATAAAACATTACATACCAATTATTTGTGAATTTTGACTCCGGGGCTCAGGCAGAAGGGTTAAAATTGTTCAGGAACACAGGGCTCAAAGGATTAAGGCCAAAAACAGTTGTGATCATTTCAGAAATTTATGATCAAGTCTTTTTTTTAATCTTGGCCAATACCAGATTTACATATCGGCTGGAGCCCCCAAGAGCCCTCTAGACTGATGATGCCCCTGATGAAACTAAAAACAATAAAAGATAACAGATTTTTTTATCTTCAGCTTTAAGGTGGACTCCTTTGTATGAATTTGAAGTAATTTAGAGTATTTAGACCCACTAGTGAATTTGAATCCTAAAATTTCAGTAACACAGGTCCTTCATTCAAGAGGATGTAAAGTTTGGATAAAAATATGAAATTAATGAAATAAATTGGAGTCCCAAAATTAAAAATTTTAGTTGACGTATTTCATGTTTTACACAAAGACAAAAAAAGAAAAAAACAAATGCATTATCTAAAGACATTTTTTATTTTTTTATTTTATTTTTTATATAGACACAGGGTAAAAATGAAGAGGCCCCCAAATTCTATTAGTCCAGGGACCTAATCAGACATTGATCTAGGCCCAAACACTGCAGAAATTAAATGATCAAGATTGCCAATGGATTAAAATTTTGAGGTCTTGGAAGAGATGAAAAAAAAAGATCTTGGACACATTCTCTTTGAAGGGTTATGTGAGGAAGCATTGAAGTTAGTCATAGTTTGAGATTAGCTAAAAGTTTGTATTGAGCATATACAAGAATTGTATATTTGAGAAGAAAATTTTATTTGTCAGGATTTCTTAAATATAACAGCCAGATCATCTAGTCTTTTATATCATGGCTCTTCACAACTTCCTGTTGCTTTAAGTAATTTTTTTCTTTTACTCAGTATCCTCCTACTTTGTTCTTGTTCTGCCATCCATTCATAAATACAAAAGCCTCCGTTTTCCCAGCTCTGCTTTA